AATGTACAGTATGTGGAAAATAATGTGTTTTTTTTACTTTAAACCGCATAAACACATTTCATTACACCAAATACACAAAATAATGTTCTTTTTAGCAGCATCATATGACCCCTTTAACAGTGCCAAAAAGGCCAAAAAATGGTAGCATTGTTACCCAATTATCTTTTCAGTGCTGTGTTCCTGTGCTCGGTGTCTCAGTATCTAATGGCCAGGTAACGGTTTCATGCAACAATGCTCTTCACTAGAGCTGAATGTCCACTCATGCCCAGCAGGGCTCAGGTCAATTGCATTTAAATGCAAATGACTGCTTGTTGTGGTGAAAGTGTCCACGCATAATTCATATTATTCAAATGAGGCAGCTCTATGGCCCGGTTCTGGGCTTTATGTAAAACACCAGTGCAGTGATTTCCACAAGAGACAGATGCTATAGGAAATCACAGTCTCCCATTGTTCGCCTCACAAAGTCAGACTCTAGATACGGTTTTGTCTCTTCGTAGGTTGTGTGCTAGTATTTGTTTCTTTAGTTAATTAAATATTTATAATTTCTCTCAATTCATCTTTGATGAAAGTTCTTCGCAATGCATTCTGGGGTTCACGTGAAACACATGACTCAAGAATACTAGAAAACCAGAGTATGACTCAAATTAATAATGACTCACCCTTTTTTACCATCCAAAACAAACAATTTTATCTTTATCTCCATCTAGATCTGCTTCATAAAGGGGTGACGTCCATCACCAATCTAGAGGGATGGGTGGGCCACCCTTTGGACCCCATTGGAACGCTCTTCAGCACGCTGATGGAAACGGGCCGTGGGGATGAAGACAGTTTGCAGGGAGGGTTCCTAGATTTCTCAGGTACAGAGACGCGAGATGCCGCAGCATGATTCATGTTATTTACAGAGTGTTTTTACGAATTAGCTAAAACTGTCAAGTCCTATTAACACCCTGTTAAAGCGTCAGGCGTCTTAAGCATCCTCTGTAATATTTATAGTTAAAACTGTTAATGTAATACATCATATTTCATGTGCCATGTGCTCCACTTAGGAAAAGCCAGTCTGTAAATCATACATCATTTTTGCTTTGTTATCGACGACATCCATTTGCAACAAGAGTTTTCAGCGTTTTAGACCACTGTAGTAGGACCGATCAACCCTCTCTCAAATTAACCTCACGTATGCTACTATTTTAGACTCTGATTAAAAAGATATGGTATATATTAAGAGTAAAGCATGAGTCTTTTTTATCTGAGCCTAAAAGTCTATTCTTCCCTGCTGCATTTTTAATTTTCATGTCTTATTCATGAGCTTTGATTGGAGAGACGACTGTATCACAATCAGAGAACACGGTGCTGCAATTAAACATTATTGTTGCCTTTGGGCTCATGCCCATTCTGATTGGCACCAGAAAGGGTAGGGTGCGTTCACCCGTCTAGAGCAAGCCTACTCAAGATGGAGACCGTTGAGCCACTAGTCTAGTGTATGTGCAAAGTTCTATCCACGCTTGAACCCCTTAACAAACTTATACCTGATTAGGAGACTTATGGTCCAAAGGATTTTGATGAGGATAGGATTTTGCATGATACCGGATATCTGTGGACTATGTAGGGGCTGTAACTTTGCCTGATGTATCCCAACGTAGCCCTCCTAACCTCCCAGCTTGCTGTCTAGGGCTTCCTTTAGATTCAGTTAGTCCAAGAGTAGACAAGGCTCTCCTTAAGCCAAAGCTCTGGCTTCTATTTCTCTCTTGCTGTGGCTGGCTTTGAACTTTGAGTTTATTAGGGAAGGAGAAAGAAAAAGATTTGGTGGACGGTGTGCAGAATAAAAGAAGGTGTGAAGCCTCGAGCTTCCCTCTTTGTGCTCCTTTTTGATTAGGACATTAAATCCTCCCGGAGCCAGCCACACGGGTCCAAAGAGGCATCATTAAAACATTATGATGCTTCTCATTATTAGCCCCAAATGAGTCGCCAATGGTGTTAATATGTAACCGAGGACATGGAGCTCTGGATTCACTTTGCTGTTAAAGGGATAGTTCACCCAAAAATGAAAATTCTGTCATTAATTACTCACCTTCATGTCATCTTACGTAAACCCGTAAGACCTTCGTTTATCTTCGGAACCCAAATTAAGATATTTTTGATGAAATCCGAGAAAACAAAAATAACGACTTTATTCAACAATTCTTCTCTTTCCTGTCAGTGTCCGCCGCCATTCACGAGAGTACACGACACATGCACTGCACCTTGTTTCCAAGCAGAGGAATGCACACGCAAGCGTCGTGGTACTCTCTTGAATAGCGGCAGACACTGACAGGAAAGAGAAGAATTGTTGAATAAAGTCGTTATTTTTGTTTTCTTTGTGCACAAAAAGTATACTCGTCGCTTCATAAAATTACGGTTGAACCACTGATGGTACATGGACTATTTTAACAATGTCCTTACTACGTTTCTGGGACTTGAACATGGTAGTTCCCTTGCTGTCTATGCAAGGTCAGAAAGCTCTCAGATTCCATCAAAAATATCTTAATTTGTGTTCTGAAGAAGATGGAAAGTCTTACGGGTTTGGAACGACATGAGGTGAGTTATTAATGACAGAATTAAAATTTTTGGGTGAACTATCTCTTTAAAATAATAACGACATGGAAGATCAGAAATCCAGGGTATTTTGATGTGTTTTTTTTAAATACATGGCACGTTTGCTGTTTTTCAAGGTTTTAAGGGAGGGGTTTGCGCAAAAGTCCTTTTGTTTTAATCTAAGCATATCTTTAGGCCTTCATGCAAATTGCATCTAATTTTGGCCCTGTATTTGCTTGGTGGAAAATCAGTTTTAGAAACCTCAGGGATAGCTCGTTAAGGCCAATTAAAAGCCTGGAATTAGTGCTGAGGGGTTGATGATGCCCAGCCAATCAGATGGGTAGATTTGGTTCTTAGGTACAATTCCTTACAGTCAATCAAAAGATGAGGAATATGTTTGGATTTGGATCTGAGGGACCGACTCCCTAACACCAAATCCAGCTTTTTGATTGGCTGCAAAGAATTGGTTCCTCACAGCCAATAAAAAGACTGGACTTGGTGCTGAGGGATCAACCTCTCAGCCAGTTAAAGGAATTGGTGTAAGTAACTCACAGCTAATCAAAAGACTGGTTGAAGAGTCAGTCCTTAGCACCATATCCAGCCTTTTAATTGGCTGAGAGGTCATTCCCTTGGCACTAAAAACAGCATTTTGATTGGCTGAATGGCCAATCTTCAGCACAAAATCCAGCCTTTTCAATCGACTCCTGTGCAACCAATTAAAAAGCTGTATTTGGTCCTTAGGGATTGACCTCTTAGCAAATTAAAAGGTTGAATTTGGTGCTAATCAAAAGGCTCGATTTGGTCCTGAGGGACTGCCTCAGCACCAAATCCAGCTTTTTAATTGCATGCAAAGGTTCTATTCCTCACACCCAGTAAGATGATTGGATTTGGTGCCGAAGGATCGACTTCCCAGCCAATTATAAGGCTGGATTTGGTGCTAAGGATAAGTTTCTCAAAGCCAATCGAAAGACTGGTTGAGGCATCAATCTTTAGTACCATATTCGGCCTTTTAATTGGCTGAGATTTTGATCCCTCTGCACTAAATGCTGCCTTTTGATTGGTTAAGGGGCTAATCCTCGGCACAAAAACCAGCCTTTCCAATCGACTCCAATGCAGCCAATTAAAAAGCTGGATTTGATGCAGAGTTGATAGGAAGGCTTGCGAGGCTCAGAGCTGCATGTCGGAGTTGGCGTCCATGTAGCTGGAGATCAGTGAAGAGTGAAGAGCAGGGGCTCAGCCTGTCTATCTCGCTCTCTCCTGGTTTCTAACTACAGCCTGGGCCTCGTCATATCCAATAGCATTTCGCACCATCTCACAGATATGAATGTGATGCATGAACCATCCAATGCATTTGCGAGTCCAGGGTACAGTGTATTACCTCAGTCACTGAGGAGCCTAATTGAGCATGCCTTGCCTTATGCCCTATCAGGCTGAGCTGCTTCATTAGACCAGGCAGAGTTCCTCTCTGGTGCCTTATTATACGACAAGACCTGTCTAAGAACCAGTGCCTGGGAGGAAGGTCTCACTACGGTGGTTTACTCGGGAGGTGTCACCACCTCCCAGTTTCTTACGCGCTTTCTGTTTCTCGCCCTCTGCAGCCAGCACAATGAGCTCGAGCAAGCACAGCGAGCTGCACTTGTTTCCGTCCACACGCCGCTTCCTGGAGGAGGGTGAGTCATATCTGGCCCTGGCGGTGGAAACGGCCCTGATGGGACTGGGTCAGCAGAGAATTATGCCCGACGGACTGTACGCCCAAGAGAAGGTGTGCCGCAACGAGGAGCACCTGATCGCCAAGCTGCAGGAAGTTGACCTGGACGATACCCTGGTCAAGATCTTCCGCAAGCAAGCAGTCTTCCTGTTAGAGGGTAAGTCTTGACGATTTCGCACATTTACAGTGCGAGAGAATGACAGCAATGCTGTTTGTTTTTCATTAACTGAGGCTGAAAGCAAGAGCCTGGGGAAGCAATTTGGACATAGCTAACAATTCTGGAATGGGTGCATCTGATTTCTTCATGCGTCAGCTTAATATCTAGCTAAATAGTTTCTGAAGCATGTCTTTAAATATCTGCTCTAGAATAGCACGTACTGTATACCAAGGGTGTCCAATTCTGCTCTCGGAGGGCTGCCTTCTTGCATAGTTTAGCTACAACCTGCTTCAACACACTTGACTGAAAATTTCTAGTAATCTTGAAGACCTTGATTAGCTGATTCAGTTGTTGTTGTAGAAGGTGTTGCTCTGGACGTTGGTAATGTATAAGCATGAAAAATACATAGTAAAATCTAGGGATAAGACTAGGGATCTAGACATAAAGTTTGCATGTTGCTAAGCTAATCTATCTAGGGATCACAACATCATGGATGATTTCCCTGCAAAATTCGCCACCATGATGTTGAAGTTAGCTTAGCAACATTCCCAGTATTTGCTAATCCATTTCTAATGTTTCTGAATAATTTCTAGGGCATTGGTCGGGTGTTCTGGGTGGATGCTGGTCAGATACGAAGGTTAGGGCCTTGTTAGATGGTTGCTTACTTTGCAAGGCCCTAGTACCATTAAGAATACCTTAGCAACTGACTCTTAACCACCTAGAACTGCCTAGCAATGTCGTAGAAACCATTCAGAACCTTAAGCAATGGATTAGCTGGCAAAGTTGTGAAGTTAACTTCAACATCATGGTGGCATGTTTTGCAGGGGCAAGAACCATTCTTGTTTTCTTCAGAAAACCTAGTTGTTTTCCTCTTTTAACAAAGTTTCAGACTCAGTTTCATTTCCCTCAGAGCAGTGTTCAAGCATGTGTAAAGGCGCTCAGTGGTGGACGAGGCTGTTTGTTTCACTCGCGGCTGGTGTTGGGAGTAAAACGAAACGGTCTTTGCCTACAGAGCCGCCTCTGAATGCCACTGGGTTGTTTTGAAAGAATGAAGAGAAACCGATAAAGTGACCCCGCTGTGTGGATTCCTCCACCCAGCATATGCCAAGAGCTTGACGGGGGCACAATAAACAGGAAGGCATGCATTCTATTGGCTACAGGGTTTGGGGGAGTTCTGGCCAAATGTGAAAATCCATCAAAACAAGAGCGTTCTCACACTGAGAGACATCCAGAGCACGTCACCCCCTTCCAGCACACGCTGTAATAGAGTTAGCATGCTCAGCTGTTGTGTGTGAGTGTGTGTGTGTGTGTGTGTTTTCAGTTAGTATCTTCAGCAAGACGTGACTGTAGCTCTGTTCCAAGCCCTAGTGAGCTGCCATGCTGTCAACTGGCTACATAAGCAGATACTTACTAAGGTTCAGTTGAACAGTTTGACCAAACACTGTATTCTATATGGGAAGATGTTCAACGTGCAAAATGGCGGAATATGTCCTGCATTTTATTTATTTTTTTCCTCAAAGCTTGTCCAAAGGCATTCTGGGAATACATTTGCTGTGAAGTATACATGCAGTGCTGTGTTTATAATTTAACCAAAACAAGGGATGTTATGAGGCAAGCATGATCATGCCCCGCAAAAAAGGCAATCCCAGAATACTTTGCAACAATCTCTGTGGAGATCATGAATCCTTGATGGCTAATTATTCGAGATAAATACATTAATATTTAGTTATACTAATATATATAATTTTATGAAACGTTTGTGTGTAATGTATTTTTATTCTTACAGTTAGCTTAGCAATATGCTAACTAGTCAATTTTCATGAGCTTCACCTGAGGAGCGCTATTTGTGAGTTTCTGTTTATGTAGAGCATCACATTTGAGGTTTTATTTTGGTTAAGATGCTGCCTAGGTAGCTGTCTATGTAGGCACCACGTATGCCTCTTATGAATGTTTATTTTGGGTAGTTTGTCGGTGTCTGTTTGTATGTCCAGTGCCGTGTGTAATTGTGAAGTGGCTTGTGGTCGCTGCCCTCTCAGTCGAAAATAATCTAATGACAGGGAAAGCTAAGCTCTCACATATGGCTTCTAGCATTGCAGTTTATATTGTAGGCAAGTGTGAAAAGGCCTGCATGCTTGAAAGTGGGCGTGTGGTTTTCATCTGGTTTGAGGATGAGGAGGGGGAGGGTCTGTAGAACGATCTGTAAGCCGTCACGTCCACCTACAGTAAAGAACACGCCCACGGCTGTGGCTTAGTTTCCCCTCGCATCTATTGTTTTTACCGTCTTCACTCACTCTGAGAAGGCACGGTTAAGCCTTCGCTGATTCTCAGATGTGTGTGTGTAGGGCGTGAGGTTATCTGGGGCTCCGTTTAATCAAAAGGCGCCTTTTGCTTGGAAAACTGCTAAATAATTCATGGCCACTGAAAATGAGTTTTTGAAAAAGTGTGAATAATAAATATGTGTCGTTGAGTCTAATTTGGGCTGCAGAGGTAACGCAGAGCGCTCTTTTCACCCCACACACCCCCTCCGACTCCCTGTGTGCGTTTGTGGCCGTTTGTGTACGTGCGCCTGTACAAACCCTGTGTGTGTGTTAGCGTCAATTTTACATGATCAGCAACAGTTATTCATGCGCCTTTACAAAACCTGTTTAATACATATTTTGAATATTGAAATGAAGTCTTTGTCAGCATATACACACGCATACACAACATTCATGAAACACAAGCAGAATGAAAATTGTTCAACTATTCTTGCGTAAATTGACATTCGTTTCAAAGCAGCAATTTATGCTTAGCTTTACAAATTATTAACACCAAAATCAGTTCTGCTTGTTCTTATGTAAATTTTCGCAATTACTTCAATATGTATTTCAATAATTTAATTTAAAAAAAATTTAATCTTGCAAAAATTAATGTTTGTTTCAAAGCAACAATCTACGTTTGGTTTTACGAAATAAGAAGCAAAATGTATTTTCTTGTAATAATTCATTAAATTAAGCATAAATTGTAACTTTGAAACAGCTAATATGTACATTTACGCAATTTTTTTTTATTTACCAAAACATTACACAAAAAATATGTACTTTTACATAAAGCAGTTCTGCTTGTTCTAATGTAAATTGTCACGTTCACTTAAGTATGTATGTTTCCATCCAATTCGCGAATTTAATATATGCGCAAAATTGGATTCTTATGTAAATTGATATATTCGTTTCAAAGCAACAATGTGTTTAGTTTTACGAATTAACACAGAAATCACTTCTGCTTGTTCTTATATAAATTGTTGCATTCACCCAAGTATAGATGTTTCCATCCAAGTTGCAAATTTAATATATGCGCAAAATTGGAATCTTGAGTAAATTGGTATTTTTATTTCAAAGAAACAATTTACGATTTGTTTTATGAATTATTAACACCGAAATCAGTTCTGCTTGTTCTTATGTAAATTTTCACATTCACTTCCATATGTATGTTTCCATTCAAGTTGCAAATTTAATATATGCGCAAAATTGGAGACACCCGTTTCAAAGCAACAATATCAAGTGACTGTCTTAAAAGACTATATGTTTAGTTTTACGAATCAACACTCAAATCAGTTCTGCTTGTTCTTATATACATAAATATAGATGTTTCCATCCAGGTTGCAAATTTAATGTATGTGCAAAATTGTAATCTTGAGTAAATCTTCCATCCCATGTGTTCAAGCAAACAAAATTGTCACTTTCAGGCAAATTGGTGCAAAATAGAAATGCAAGTGAGAGGTGATAGTAGCGAGTCATCTGAGTGGATTTTTGTAACATGACCTCAAAAATCCATTGATGGAAACTGCTGTGAGCATTTATGCAAGAATGATTCCATGAATGATTTACAATGAAATTTGTGTGAGTGCCGATGTGCAACAGAAATTCATAAACTGTGTGCTAAATAGGTGTGATGCAATAATTTGTCCGTCCACACTGAAAGTGAAATTGTTGCGCAACGCGATCACAGCCAGTCTGAACATATTTAATGTTTAAATGCAGTTAAGCACAGTGGACTCGTGAGATTTCGCTGTGACCATCAGTGTTATCTTTGATTGTATGTTGCTTTATGGCTGGTTCTGGCAAGATTTCCAACTTCAGGCTGGTTCAACAGATTTATATCGACATCTTGTCACGGATTTCCTCTCATATGTTTTATTAATTTTCGTTTTTTGACCAACCTACATACACACAAAAAAGTCCTGTTACCAAATCTGTCTGGTATTGTATTATATTTTGATTGGATTGTGTTTACCGGGGGATTTGCAGCTCAGGATACACATATAAAGTCGATGGTATCAAACAAAAATCCACCTAAATTTAGCCAGCGCAGGAGCTTCGGGCTCAGTATTGACTTTCTCTATAAAAAGACCGTGGCCTCCAAATAACTGCTCTCCATGGCATTGGCTCAGACGAGGGCTGATCTCCTCATAATACAATTCCCTTTGTTAGATGACTTGGTAATTAGCTCCATGCCAGGACACGATGCTTGGACATATTTCCGCTGCACTGGAGGCGAAGGACGAAATCCTGCTCTGACATGAATATGCATGATCAGATAGATGATTTTTAGTAGCATATGATCGGAAAGCCAGGGTAGCCTCAGAAAGCCATCAAAGATGCCCAACATGCAACTAACAGCCAATTTACAAAGTCATATTCGACATCTGTGTATAATGAGGATGTCCATGTTGTAAGTGCACAGCAAAAATGCACTCCTATTTAGAGTATGGAAGATCTCTGATGATCATGTCATGATTAAAACGTGGTCGAATCCAGTCGGATGCGCCTGTTGGCCTCGTTGTAGTATTTCAGAAGCACAGTAAGTGTCCAGACAAACAGGATGGTCAGTAATGGGGTGTGTGTAAAGGCCGCGGGCTGCCTCCAGGCTCATGTTAGTTGGCTAAAACAATACAGCAAAACCTCTGTTTGAGAACGACACACTGTCCTTTTCCAGAGGAAACTTCTGCTGTGGTTGTAGAGCAGGTGAAATATTCAGTATTGTCCCGTGGTACCGCAATTTATTATTTACATTTATAAATCAGTCCTTTTAATAACATTTAAAGTTTTTTTTTTTTTTTTTGTAACAACTTGATATATATAGTAATGATAAAGTGAAATTCTATCTATGACATCAGTGTTAGATAATGAATGCATTAATATAATTTTTATTAATGTAACATTAATGAAATATATGTATTTATTATTATTAATATATATCTATTAATAGTAATATATATATATATATATTTAAATATAGAATTTATTATAGAATTTAGCCTACTGAATATACTATATATTATCAAATTATGTGTGTGTTTGTGTGTAATAGAAATTAAATATAGAATATTTATGATTGATTTATTTTTGCAGAGTACATTGAATAAAATTAAATATATATAATAAATAAACATCATATATAGTACATTTATAGTGTATTGAGTAATAAGTTATATATATAATTATTAAATTAAATTATATATTATCAAATTATATATATAAATAAAATACTAATTAAATATAGAATTATAGAATGAAAAAAAAAATATATATATATACAGTATATATATTGTATATTGTCCACATGTAATGATTAGTTTAAACTGATTCACAAATATTTTAATGAATCTATACCTGAGATTCATTTATTTATTTATTTTCTTGTACGGTCTGTGATTACAGCAGACCACTCATAGTAAATAAATGGGAGAAATCATGGTTGTTGGAATGGAAATCCCGTCTTTCATGCACATTAGTTGGAAAAGCCTGAAAAATACAGTTTTAGGCTAAATATGCAACATTTACTTATACCACTGTTGTGTTTTATTGATGATTGACTGTACTCCTCCACAGGTTGTGGTTTGGAAAATAACACTAGTGTTGATCTGTATGTCTTTTTTTGTTTGCAGGTTACCAGTGTTGGAATCCATGGCTGCTTCGGGCGACATGTCCCGGCCTCACCATATAGTATCAGTCGTCCCCAATCGTTACCCGCGATGGTTCACCCTCAGCCACATCGAGTCCCAGCAGTGCGAGCTGGCCTCCACCATGCTCACTGCAGCCAAAGGTTAGACCGTCGCATTGGCCAGCGCGTCCATCACTCATGCGCAGGCTGCTATTACTGTGACAACAGCGCTGTTTGCTTAATGGCAGGCCTGTGTACCACATTTCCGCTAGCAGACTGCAAAACAACGAGCCCAGACCGAAAAATCAAACCTGCATTCGTCTCCTCGGTTTGGAGAAACAACACGCTTGGAGAAGTTACAAATCCGCAGCACTATTTTTAAGATCTAATCGCACCGCAGTGCAGAGAAGCTGAAATCAGAGGAAATCAACATGCTGGTGATAAATAGAAATCCTGTCCCAGAACTGAGCGTTTGAAGGTTTTCTCAGCGTCTTGCATCACGTCGGGCGTCTGGCACTAGTGCTGACTCACGGCTCATTGTGTAGCTGTGTGTGTGTGTGTGTGTGTGATGCAGTGCTGTAGACGGGGGGAAAGGGTTTCTGAGCGCTTGATGTTTCTCCAAGGTCACTGGTGACTGTTTGCAGTGTTTACAAAAATGGCCAGTCATGTCAAAATTTCCATCACTTGTGTGAATCCATCACACATAATGAATGCATAAATAATATATTATTTATTATTAAAAATTTTGAGATGTGTATATATATATATATATTAGTATATTTTACATATTATATGTGACCCTGGAGCACAAAAGCAGTCTTAAGTCGCTGGGGTATATTTGTAGCAATAGCCAAAAATACATTGTATGGGTCAAAATTATCGATTTTTCTTTTATGCCAAAAATCATTAGGACATTAAGTAACTACTGTAAATATATCAAAACTTAATTTTTGATTAGTAATATGCATTGCTAAGAACTTCATTTGGACAACTTTAAAGGCAATTTTCTCAATATTTAGATTTTTTTGCACCCTCAGATTCCAGATTTTCAAATAGTTGTGTATTGGCCAAATATTGTCCTATCCTAACAAAACATACATCAATGGAAAGCTTATTTATTCAGCTTTCAGATGTATAAATCTCAATTTCGAACAATTGACCCTTATGACTGGTTTTGTGGTCCAGGGTCACATATAACAAAATGAGTTTTAAGACCAATTATAAATGAAAAGGTGTCCTTTTATGATTACTTGGACAAAATGCTGCACATTTCTTTGTGAAACTGAAATAACTAGATTGAAATTTTAAAACAAACCCCAAATCAAATAAATAATACAAATAAAAGAAATCTTTTCATATAAACAAACTAAGGCTTTGTCTGTTTAGACAATTAGAGGCAACCACTGCACTTTATTCATGATCCAAACAAAGATGCTGAATAAAAAAAAATTTAAAAAGTCAAGACATTTTTAATCTAAATTAGATTGTATAATTTCAAAATTTGAAGCTAAAACAGAATGGTCTGACTTAAGCTTTGTGAAACCATATTACATAAAACATCTGCACAAAACAAAAACAGCAGACGGGCTGAATGAGAACACAAATGCACTCTCTGACAGCAGGTGGCGCTTAGGAAACCGCAGCAATATAGCTTTTCCTTGGTTACCGCTGTAAACAAAGCAGCACTGCACTAATAAACACTCAAATGGATTATACAGAGGCAAAATGACAATACCATCTAAACTTTTCTAAAGACAGTCAGATACATTCATACAGACAGAGAGATACATTCATATAAACTCTGCCACCCCCTACTGTATCGCGATTTGTTTAACATCTCAACCAACTTAAATAGTTACATATTTGTATCGATGTTCAACCAGCTCAGGGTGCATCGTTACATCCTTATAAAATATATATAAATCTCTCTCTCTCTCTCTATATATATATATATATATATATATATATATACATACACACACACACACACATTCATATGTAATAAATATATACATAATTTATATATTTCATATATGTGTGTGTGTAACTTTTTGGTCGGTACATAATTTGCATACTTCTGTGTGTTATATTTCATAGTTTTGATGGCTTTACTGTGTGGAAACCATTCATACATGTCTTAACATGCGTTATTTTTTTTCGGTGTTGTTTGTAGGTGATGCTCGAAGGTTAGAGACAGTATTAGAGACCATACAGAAGAACATTCACTCCTCCTCTCATATCTTCAAACTGGCGCAGGATGCCTTTAAGATAGCGACGCTCATGGACAGTCTGCCGGACATCACTCTGCTGAAGGTCTCCCTGGAGCTGGGTCTTCAGGTATCCATCCACCGCTTCATCCATCAGCACACTGTGATCTCCACTTTACCTGTTTTTGCCCATTTCCTTACGTTTTCTTTTCTAATAAATTGCAGGTAATGCGTATGACGCTTTCAACGCTGAACTGGCGGCGGCGAGAGATGGTACGATGGCTAGTCACATGTGCCACAGAAGTTGGTAAGTTTGAGCCTTCAGCTTTCACTGTTACCAGATTTTGGCCAGTTACAAAAAAGCAATCAGGCAATCAAGGCTGTTACAGGGATTTTACCATGGTATGGTAGCGAAACTGGGTTGAATAACCAATAATCAGCCATGAGTGACTTGTTGCTTATATAAAATTGCAGCAATTTAAAATTTAAAGGGGGCATAACACACACAGTTTCACCCAATCTCATGTTAATCTTGAGTACCTATAGAGTAGTACTGCATCCTTCATATCTCCAAAAAGTCTTTAGTTTTATCATATTTATAAAAGAAATATACAGCTTTACGATTCTCTTCGGAAAAAGCAGAGCTCCTGGAGGCAAAAAATACTATTGTTTATTAATAGTAAAATAATATAATGAAATTACTTTTATTCAATAATAAAATAATAATTGTTCCACAGCTATTGCAAAAATTATAATAAAAAAATGTATCATGAAAATGAAAATCATCATGGATGCATTATTAATTTCATGAATTAAATATTAACATTATAAAATTATACAATTATTTAAATGTAAAATATATACATATTATATCAAATATAAAAAATATTAAATATTGTAAAAAATAATATAATTTATAAAAATATATATAATTACTTAAATTTATTTTTATATACTATCATTTATATACTATCAAATAAATTCATAAATGATATATTTAAATGGTCATTATTTAAATTAATCAATAAAATCATTTAGAAATGGCAAATTACTTAATGACATTGTGTATAAATATAATTTATGACTTTTTGATGAAATATCATGAAGACTTTTTATGTGCTCTGACAAATTAAGCACAGTACGAACATGTATAAAGAAAGTAAACAGGGACAGTTTTGTTTTTTGGAAGTTGAGTGACATTCTGCTCCCCTGTCTGTGTCTGCAGGGGTCTACGCACTGGACAGCATCATGCAGAGCTGGTTCACCCTCTTCACGCCCACCGAGGCCACGAGCATCGTGGCCACCACAGTCATGTCCAACAGCACCATCGTACGGCTGCACCTGGACTGCCATCAGCAAGAGAACCTGGCGAGCAGCGCGCGGACGTTAGCCCTGCAGTGCGCCATGAAGGACCCTCAGAACTGCGCGCTGTCGGCCCTCACGCTCTGCGAGAAGGACCACATCGCCTTCGAGACGGCCTACCAGATCGTGTTGGATGCGGCCACCACGGGCATGAGCTACACGCAGCTGTTCACCATCGCGCGCTACATGGAGCACCGCGGCTACCCCATGCGCGCGTACAAACTGGCCACGCTCGCGATGGTGCATTTGAACCTGAGCTACAACCAGGACACGCATCCCGCCATCAACGACGTGCTGTGGGCTTGTGCGCTCAGCCACTCGCTGGGAAAGAACGAGCTGGCCGCCATCATCCCGCTGGTGGTGAAAAGCGTCAAGTGTGCCACCGTGCTGTCGGACATATTGCGGCGTTGCACACTGACCACGCCTGGCATGGTGGCGCTGCACAGCCGCAGGAACTCTGGGAAGTTGATGTCGTTGGACAAAGCCCCGCTAAGACAGCTCTTGGACGCTACGATCGGGGCCTACATCAACACGACGCACTCGCGGCTCACGCACATCAGCCCGCGGCACTACAGCGAGTTCATCGAGTTCCTCAGCAAAGCCAGAGAGACTTTCCTCATGGCGCACGACGGACACATTCAGTTCACACAATTCATAGACAACCTGAAACAGATATACAAAGGCAAAAAGAAACTCATGATGCTCGTGCGCGAGCGGTTCGGCTAGTCCACCTTTGTACGCTTTTTAAGTCAAAAAAGAAATGACAAAAACAATACAAACCACACCGGTATTATGTGTATAGACTTACGTTTGCGTAAAAAAAAGAAAAAAAAAAAAAGTGGAACGTTGTCATGTTGTGGAAGTTTGTGCGTTTCCCCTTTATTTGTGTGAAAGCGTGTGAGAGTATGTCACGATGTTACGGTTTACACTGAGTATATGTTGTCCAGTGGCGAAAGTCCACACAGCACTCCAGATCTCTCTGTTAAATATTCACAGCCTCAAAGTGAAGAAGAAATATGGCTTTAAACCAAACAACACCTCCATCCTAAGTGACAAGTACCTCGTACGGCTTCAGCTTTACTCCTTCCTGAACCAGTCACACGTTACCAGTGTACTAAAGAAGTGTTAGAAACGAGAAAAACAAAAACACGTCTCCATTTTTTGAGTTTCCTTTTCAGTTCACCAGGCTAATTGCGTGGCTTTGCAGTGCTGTTTCGTCCAAAAGCATGTCTCGCGCACACACACACACACACACACACACAGTCTTCAACCCCATTGTGCTTGCGCTTGTGGAAACTTAGCGACTGTCGACATACATCTCAGGGATTCTCTTTGGAAAAAAAAAAGAAAAGAAAAAAAGATAAAAATGGTCATGAAAGAATGAGAGCATTTTATTGTACTGTATATATGATAGTATATGTCTGAATATTGAAAAGAAATGTATACGTTAACTAATTTATAAAAAGAATATTCTATGTAATGCAAAATACTTGAAGCTGCAGTACCTTGGTTTGAAACAAAACATATCAGAGGGACTAAACGCGAGTCTCGGGCTGTGTTCGGAATGGAAGGCTAGCGCGCTGCTTACTGCGTGAGAAATAGTATGCGAAACGGTAGGCATTATTCCACAATTAACGTTTCACGTGATTTCATGACGTTGCATGTTTAATTCAGTTAATCTTGGAAATGAACCTGGGTGTTTTTCACATTTAATCCCATTTAAAGCGCATTGCACAGTATCCATACTACACACTGCAGCCGCAGTAACCGTACGCTAACGTGCTATTCCGAACACAGCCGTGCTGTCGGGGCTGGATTTGGGCAGTGAACCTGTGTGCTGGGTATCTATGCAGAGCCACCTCCGATGCACGATCCGAGCGGTCTGGAATGTGTTGGCGTAGACCCGACCGCACAGGGCACCAGTGGTTTGGACGGACACCCAGTGAACCAGAGCAGCAAGCCTTAGCATTAAGAATTGGGAATGCAAGAAACGCAGGCCCATGTGCCTCAAAAAAACGCCTAGAAATGTAGATCCAACAGTATCGATGTTAACGCAAACATGCCGAGCGATTGGCCTGACGCTCTTGTTTCTTTCCACAATAATCGAGTCACGACGAAGCTCCATTTTTATGCACAATAACATGTACATGCCTATCTGCTGACATCTTAACTTTGTGCAAGACAGAAAGTTGCTGTGTAGGTCTGACTGTTCAAACGTTTTTTAAACGCTTTTGTTTAGTTGCTTTTTTACTTTTCTTGTTTTTTTGTTTTTCCTTTTGTCGTTCCTATAGGATTCCTCAACGAAACGAAAACAGCCTTCTTTCTTGCCTTGTCTTAATGCTTTAAAATAACCAAACTGGAGTTCTAACTACCAAACTTGTTCGTTAAAAATGAAAGCCAACCGACTTTGGTTACAACTTTACTGTCTTTAATTTTAGCTGAATGGTTCTGTATTCTGTGCTTTAAAAAGCAGTTTTCCTATGTTTTTTGGTGCAGAAACATTGTCGAGTGTCCCCTTCCTTAGAGGTATGTCTGTAGCTCTTTTTATTTTTTTGTTCGTTTAGAAACCGAAATATAATTTTTCTCCATTTTATTTATTATGAAAGGTAAACGATTGTACTTCTTCACCCGTGTCAACATTCTCATGAAGTTGAATTTCAGATTTGATACACCGATATCAATTTATTTATGTAACTAAATCACTGTTTTATAAACTTGTTAATGATTCAACATTTTTGTTTTAATTAAAATTAGTTTTTTGAGAGGAAGCAAATCATTGAGTCATTTGTGTGCATGACACTTTTTACATGACCGATTTTTTTATAAATCTATTTTACAATTTACAGTATAATTTCTGATACATTTCTCACTCATACACCATTTTGCATGTATTTCTTCACCAAACTTGTAATGCATTCTGGGAATAAGAATAAGGAATAATTGTGCTGACTGCATTTTGGAAAATCCTTCACATTGGGAATCTGCTTAAAATGGTATCAACTCAATAGATTTGGAATAAATGGTTAGGATAAATAATAAGAAAATGCTCTCAGTTTTAAGTAAACTCTTAAACTATCATTATAGTTTTTCCAGCAATCCGTCCTTTGTCTTGAGCTTCTGTGCTTCTGGGTTCTTAGCTTTAGGATTTACAGTTTGCTAATTTCCAGATGCCAGTTCAACAAAGATGTGTCCCTCTTGTCTAAACTAAACAGGAAGTGGACAAACAGGCTGCAGTGGAAGATTATGACACTTGAGTTGCTCCTTCACACTTGAAGCAGAACGATAAGGTTGACCACAGTTACACAAAAACAGATCCTCTCACATTCTCGATTGCTTTTAATGGCGCACTTCCAGGAATTGCCAGCCAAGAGCTTAAAACCATTGAGATGTCAAGAACGCGAAGGACTGAATGAAGTTAAATACTGCAGGTAAAACTCATTCTCACACTGATAAGGTGGGCAGCTTCACACTGTGTAAATTACATGTCGCATTTAGCAAAATTTACGATACGCAGAAACCTGAGTAAATGCCCTTAACCCACTGGGCCTCTTCAGTCACTTTTGACCGAAATTATTTTAAAATTGTTTTGCTTCAGTGGAATGAGATGACACTTGGTGACCTTGTCGCATTAGCTATGTGAACACACACACACACAAAAAACATGGACAGGGTTCAGATATGTTAAAGAGTCGAAAAATAAAAAGTAACACTCTTGGGGGGGGGCGGAACCACACTGCCCCTTTTCACTTGAGACTGAGAAATTAATGTTTTAAAAGAATGCATATGATTCTTTTCCACGTTTGCTTTGGGCTGCAAAAACAGCAGAGTTTAGCAGTTTTTCCACCTCTCTTCATCAGCGGAACGGACAGATGGGACGAAGACCCGTGCTGACCAACGCTTTTCACTCTCATTTTGTTACTGAGAGCACAGATGCACAGTCAATCCAAGATGGAGCGCTTTGCCCAGACCATCAGCCCCTCAGTACATTTGGAAGAACAATCTGTAATAGCCTCAGCCATAATTCCCATGAAGCATTTTCAGGCCTGTGAGGAGATCTGTTCCTGCCAAAGCGGTGTGGAACAGGAGGCCGGGGGTTTCGGGGGGAGATATCCAAGTGCTTGAGTGAAGACGGTGACAAATTCAAGCTTTTCTGTGACTTCAGGCCTGGCACATCACACCACTGACTGCGGACACAGGATGAGGCCCTTCAGAAGTCCCATGCACTGAAAAACTAGCACTGACATCAATGTTTGCTTATGTTTAGAGTACATTATTAACTTACTGCATATACTTTATGGTTTAAAGGGGTCGTATGATGCGATTTCAATTTTTCCTTTCTCTTTGGAGTGTTACAAGCTCTTGGTGCATAAAGAAGATCTGTAAAGTTGCAAAGACTAAAGTCTCAAATCCAAAGAGATATTCTTTATAAAAGTTAAGAGTCAGCCACGCCTACCTAAAACGGCTCGTTCTAACACGCCCCCACATGTCTACGTCACTATGTGGGAAGATTTGCATAACACCGCCCAAATGTTCACGCAAAGAAAGAAGGCGTAACTTTAATTCTTGCTGTTGTCGCCGCTGCCATGTTGTGGAGATCATGTTGTGTTTCGTTGTGAAAGCGAAACTACTTTGTTTGGTCTTCCAAAAGAGGACGATATCCGCTTCATCATGCCTAGCTGTGCTAAACTTCGTTCTAAACCCCGCTTTTATCCACTGGTAGCCCTGATAGCACACGTACATCACAGAGATGTCTATTTGACGTCTACATTTACATCTGCAAGACGTATGTTTGCTCATCTGCAATATGTCTATAGGACGTTTCCTATTAGATGTCAAAAAGACATTTAGAAAAATGTCTTTAAAATATCTATCAGATATTTGTACATAACAGATGCTTTCCAGATGAAGCGATCTGTAACAGACATCTTGCAGAGTCAGACATGCGTGTGCTATCTGGGAGAGGAACGTTTCACACCTATAATTTCGAAGCGAATTTAGCACCGCTTTTTAATCCCACATTGCATTGCCAAACGTGTCAATCAAAGTCCCTTTAAGGCAAGTAATTTCACTCGGCGGCCGTCTTTGAAACGCCTCTCGGGCATGCAAGTGCAGCTCCTATTTCTTTGAATGGGGAAACATCAAATTCTCCAAAACTGTTCGCCAAGCTTACGATTAAATTTCATATTTGAATCTGACAACTGTCTCATAAATGCTTCTTTTGCTCAAATAGCGTTAAAAAAGCTTATTTTTCAGGCTAGACCCGCCAGTGCGCATGCGCAGTCCTAAACGCGCGTCTCAGAGCGCTGACTGTTTCTATAGCAACTGATGGTGCATCTGAAATCATGTACTGTCTGGGTAGGTATATATATTTTTTTATTTACTTCACAACTGTTAAAAAAAAGTATGTTGTATATAGTATGAATGAGGGTAGTTTGAATGAAATCCGGATGTGCTACTGTCACGTGACCCACCAGTGTCCATTTCGTCGCTTCCCTTCCATTCATAAATTCTCTCCCATGGGCTGCATCCGAAAACTCTAAAATGCTGCCTTCGGAGGCAGCATTCCAAGGCATCAAGGCACGTCCGAATCCAAATTCTGCTTTACTTCCTGTCTCGGGAGGCACCTTCTTCTGATCGAATTTTGAAGGCAGCATAGATGTATCCTTCGCTGCCTTTGATATCCCACAATCCTGTGCGTTCCATTCCGTGACGGTTGAGCTAAAAAATAAAGATGGCGTCTGAAAGTTGCG